GTGATTATTCAAAATTTTATTGTCAATGGGATTTGAACATCTAACCTATCACTTAAAAGGTTAACAACCTGACCACTTCACTAGATTGTCATACTTTTCTTATGTATTATATATGATATTCTTTAAAAAATAAAAAATAAAAAAAGTAAAAATAAAAAAAAATACTAATTAAGAGTTTAATTTTAAAAGCAATACAAGACAGATTAGCACAACTTCTAAGCATAAAAACAAGATAATAGTTTGTAAATATAGTAGCAAGAACAGTTTGAAATATTTTCTATAAGCAAGATTGAAGAATATAATATAAAATATTAATGTATAAAAAAAAAAATAGAAATAACAAGCAAAACAAAAAAAAATATCCAAAGAAAGAAGAAGAATCTAAGCAAAAAAAAAAACTAATTAGTAAAAAATAGATAAAAAAAGATAAAAAAAAGATAAAAAAAAAGATAAATAAATTAAAGATAAAGTTAAAAAAACAGTTTAAAGACTTGTTATAAAAGAATGAAAACTCTTCTATTATGAACTTTAAGTAGTTAGACAAGTAGTATACTTCTGCTTTAAGTAATATAGCAGATTGTATTTAGATGTCATTAGAGTGATCAAGTAATGTTAAACTTAGTTATTAAGTACATTTATATAATTACAAAAGTAATTTTAAGAATTTTAATTAAACACTAGTATGACTGTTTAAGAAAAAAATATTTAAATAAAATTTTATTTAATAATATTTAAAAATAAAGATTATATTATAATAGTATTTAATTTTATAAGAAAAAAATATATATTATTTATAATGTAAAGTAATGTATATATATATGCAATAAGTGTTAAAAATTAGAAAGTTTAAATAAAAGACTCAGAGATGAGTTTTAAATATAACATCTAGTAGGTAACCTATAGATAGAACCCTTAATTAGATAATAACTAAAGTTATATATATAGCTAATTGTACTTTTATTGATAGATTTTATATATAAAGATATGTAATATATATATTATTAATAATAAAAAGTCATATAGGCAAGATTGCTCTTGAAACTAAAAAAAAATATATATTACTTATAAGCTAAAAATAAATAAATTTAAAAAAATTTCAATTAAAAAAATATTTATAAATTTTAATACATTCTTTAAATAGTAATTTTAAACTTATAATTCTTAATATTATATTTTAGTTTATATAAAAAATAATATTTTATTAATAATACTTTTAAAATTTATTTATAAAAATTTAAATTTGTATAAAATACAATTTTTTTTAACTTTAAAATATATAAAATTTTAAAAAATTTTAATAAATTTTTAATAATAAAAATTTTTAAATAGAATCTTTAAAATTTTAATACATAAAAGTTTATTAATATTTTTTAAAAATTTTTATAATAAAATTAATAAAATATATTTTTTAAAAAAATATTATAAGCAAAATATATCTTATATTATTAATAAATTATTATTTTATTTAAAAAATGCTAAATTTAGTTTAATTTTTTAGAAAAATTTGTATAAAATACAGTTTAAGAAATAATTAAAATAAAGTTATATTGATAAAAAAAACAATTTTAAATTAATTTTAAATTAATTTTAAATTACAACTAATAAAAATTGTAAAACTAATTGTATTAATTTTTATAAATAATGTAACACAATAATTGTAATAACTAAAGCTAAAATTAAAAGGTTTTATTTAAATTTATAATATTTATTTGTACTTTTTTATTAATAAAACTACTTTTAAACCCTAACTCAACTCTAAAAAAACTAACAAAAAAATTTTTAAAAAATTTTTAAACTTAATATTAAAATATTTCAAAACCTAACTTTAGCTATTACAAGAATTTTTATAATATTATATAGTAACTATTAAAAGTTTTATTCGATAATAAAAAATTTTTTTTAAAAAAATTTTTAAATCAGAATCAATTTCATCAATTGTAGTTTTTAAAAAATAATTAAATTTTTTAAAAAATTTTATGCCAAAATTGTTTTAAGGTCAAAATTCTAATAAAAATTTTTTATAAGTAATACTTATAAATTGTTTTGCAAGAGTTTCAATCTTAGAATAACTTTGTCATAAAATTTTTAAAAAATCCGAAAAAATATTTTTAGAAAATAAAATTGATGAAATTTATTCTGATATAAAAAAATTTTTTTAAAATTTTTTTCTAAAGATTTTTACTAGATTAAAAATTTTAATAATTACTGTTTTATAAAAATTATTACGTGTTGCATTATTTATAATTGCCAGTGTATAATATTGATTAAATTAAGGAAATTGCTATTTATATTTCCACTCTTGTAAAAAATTTTTAATATATCACACAATATAATTGTAATATAAAACAATGTGGTCTGTGTACAAATAATACGTATTATAACTCAAAGAAATGAGGGGTATCAAAAGTTGTGCCCTAAATTAAATATTATAAATTATATAGTATTTGTTAACATTTTAATAAGTCAAATTAACAAGTTTTTGTTCAAAAAAAATTCTAAAAGGATTATTTGAAACCTGGTTTAAATAAACCCAATCCGGTTCATTTGACCCAATACTGGTTAAAGTGAAACAAATCGGGTTGATTTTGAAGTGACCCCCAATCAGGGTTCAAGTGACCCCAATTGGTTCAGTTGAACCCAAGTCGAGTTCATTAAACCCAATTCGGGTTCAAGTTTGAACCAAATAAAAAATTTTAATCCGGAGCAACGCTCGAGGCTGAGAGCTACGTAGTCAAAAAAAAACAAACCTGTAGTTACACATACTGTATAGTTCGAATATTAACCTTATATGTTTAGTTGTCTGGTACAAATGCTGCATAAATGAAATGCCATATTTATTAACAAATAAATACGGAGAATTATCAGTTTCACGTGACTATAGCTTTAGAGACAAATGAAGTGCTAAATTTCATGATATAAGTCCCAATAAAAACCAATTAATCAATAAAGGCAGTTGATTTATAAAGTCAAATGAACTGATAATAGCCATAGGAAATATGGAATTTTCTGTAATTAATTTTGGTTTACTATAATAGAAACCATCATTTTACATTGTTTACACATTGTTTAACGATAATGAAATTTTGTGCTTTGACGTGATCTGTCATAATGCAAAAGTTCTTTGATTAGGACATGTTTTCAAAGGGACTGAAATCGGTCATATGGCGGAACATGCGGGTTACATTATCCACATCAGACCAATTTAGTTAACATAATTACATTTACAGTATATTCGGCTTTGACATACTCGGCCATTGTGTATGTGTACTCTAAGACAATGATTTATAATGCATTAGATTAAACATTAACAGCCCAAGGCGCTTCATACCCCTTGTTTGAAACGCCAATCTATAAATTAACACGTGCCTAATACGACCCTGATATAGTGATACAAAAGGCATATACGTAATGCGCGTTCGAAAATTTCAAGTTATCTATATCTCACATGCTATTTATATCATTTTCTGAATTAAATCTCTACGATATACAGCGCAGATAGATTTTTAGTTAAGAAATAATAATAATAAAGATAAAAAAGTTGTAAATAATAGTTAATTTAGTCAATCAATTGAGGATCGGTAGATTATTTTGTGCAAACATATCAAAAGGAAATAAATTATCCATGTATCAGTATTGTGAAAAGATATGCGGAGATCCATTTTATCGATATAAAAGCAATCTTTAAAAAAAGTTCATTCATTGTATTGTTATTCATTTTATTCCCCATTATTAATTGATTTGTTTGCTTTTTTTTATATAATAATTTAAAACTTTATTTCAAAAATTTTCCGCAAGTTAATCCGGTCAGGTGAGATATGCGATTTTTTTTTTGGTTATTTTATTGCCAATTAGTTTATAATTCTTGAAACTCTAGAATGCATGAAATGTTTTAACTCATAAATTTCGAAAAGGCTAATACTCCAAACAAAAAAAATGAATGAAGCAAAGGTAATGTTAAGTTCTAAAAGTTCTAATGTCTCTCCTTAAACCTATATACTAATCAGACAATATGATGCTTTTTCTATTAAGCATTCAGAATTAACAATAATGTTTATATGGTTAATCACTTATATTTATAATCCAGTTAACGAAAAAAAAACAAGACCCAATTGATGGAAAAGAATTTACATCGTACGTGCTTTATAATTGTATTTAAAGTGGTTTTTAATTTGAACTGGTATGACGCGTTAATTCTGGCCCGAATTTTAATCTCTTCTTGTAGTTCATTTTTGATTTGTCTATGCATTAGGTGATGAATTTATTGTCAATGAGAATATACTATGGACAATTCAGATAAATAAAAAGATGTCACGAATAGAGGTGTAGAAATGTATGGTCTTGTAATTATGATAAATTTTAAGTGTTGCGAGTTGATAAAACTGTCTTTTATAAGGTAAGATAGAAGTAGTCAAAATAAGGATTTAATATCCTGTTCTCAAAATAAAAGTTTATAATCCATCGATATATATATATTTTTTTAATTACGAAATTTGATTTTTTTTTTTTTTATTATTTAATAAAGAGAATTGTTTTACTGTGGTACAAAGACAGATTGGTACGATCGATTTAATTATCGATATTGCTTTTCACATGTTCAGACAATGGATGAACGTTGGATTAATCTTTCTTGGGATCAAGGTTGGCGGCTGCATGCCAATTATTCGTCACAAATATGCAAAAAAAAAAGTTCAATAATTTCAAAAAAAGTCTAATTTCATTCATAAATTTCCAAATAATGATACCCAAAAATTGGGACTATCGTTTAAAAACAACAATTTGGGCATATTTCACATGATAAAAACTTGGAATATTTAACCTCCGGAGAACTTTTAAAATTTTAGTCCTTTACTTTTTTTTCCTTAATTTTTTGTGAATATTTTCTCAAAGATGATAATCAACGTTGTTTTAATGTTATCGTATATTTGCTCGACCTAAATTAAAAGCTTTATTAGATTTTCTTTCATCCCTTGTAATTGTAAACTTTGAACTATAAAAATTCTATGTTCCCACAAAGAAGAAGAAGCGGTCGTTGGACTGAGCAAGTAATTAAAGCTATTCAATTCTTCACACAATAATGATATCATATTAATTGCTCAATTCAATTTATAGGAAAAACAACTTCTTGAAACATTGGTTCAGACTTATGGTTATAACTGGAGACTAATCGCAATACTTATGCAGCAAACGCGCGATCAGCGTCAAATTCGGGAACAGTAAGTTTGGTGCTTTATATAAATTATAAATTATGTAAATGTGTTTTGGATATAAAACATTTATTTATACGCTTTAAAAAATACTACATTTTTAATCCGTTTTTTTTTTAGTTATCTTAATCACCAGAACCCTGCAAGTATATATCAATTTCAATTTTTCATGTTTTTCTCTTTTAACAAATGCTTCATTTATTTTACCCAATAAATCTTTTAATTTAGTAAACAGACGCAGAATTACTCCATCCGAATCCCAAAGAATTCAGGATTTGTTTGTGCAATATGGTCGTCAGTGGAAACTTATCGCATCATTTTTTCCCGGCTTCAGTCCTATTATGGTGCGTAATCATTGGAACAATCTTCAGCGCAAACGAAGTATGTTTTTTGCTTCCCTAATTCATCACGTGACCGCTATTCCTTAATACTGTAATAACTATAACGATAATAATAAAAATTTTTAGTGAATCAACTTCGGTATTTATAATTAATTTGTGTATATAAAGGACAATCCAAAATATTTTGTCGATTTTGGAAATTTTGCTTATTATTCGAATAATTCCGTTTCAAACTTAAAAAAATATTTTGGTTTAAAATGCCAACTTATATTATTAGCTCACAAAATCAACAACCGGACTTTGCTCCATTTGGAAGTTATCAACAATTGGATCATCAACCAGCTCTTGCTCCTCCTTCAGATAGCAGTCGTGAGAAGATGTCAATACCGTTTCTGCTGAACTAAATGTTGATTCCTCACCACACACATTATTAACAAGGTCAAAGAATCTTCTATTTTATATTTTTCTTATAAGCAATAAAAATATTGAGTTATTTTATGATTGATGTTACATTTCCCTTAGAGTCATAGTGGTTTTCTTTGTTTAGAATGGATATTTTTCCTTTTTATATATTAATACATAAAATATATTTTTATAATAAAAAGTTAAATCTCTACATATACTGGATTATAGCTCATTGTCGTTTGAATCTTTATCTTGAAATATAATACAATTATTAATAGAGAAGATGCCACTTTGATCATAGGGTCAAATTTTAAAAAAAGCTATTACAGTATATATTTATAATAATTTAGTAATAATACAGTATATATTTATAATAATTTAGTAATAATACAGTATATATTTATAATAATTTAGTAATATTTAATACAGTATATATTTATAATAATTTAGCAGTAATAATACAGTATATATTTATCCCTTAAACCATTTTTCAGGCAAATTTGCCTAGAAAATTAAATTGTATTTAGTATTTTTTAAATAAAATAATAATTTATTAATGATAT